CCTCACAACACTACGGCCACCGTGACCTCTTACTTCCCCGGAGGACTCCGATGAGCAACCTTGACCAGAAACCTACCTAGAACCTAACCCAAGAACGATGGCCTAACCCCAATCTACCCCTTCAGCTTCCAACTCCAGACCCAAAACGCATATGCACACTTAAACCAACCAGAAACCAACGAAGGGTGAAGGGTTTACCTTCGATTCGACGAGACACTGCCTCCTAATGAGGGCGACGAGGGTCTTTACAGACAAGAAAGGTACGGGTCGTTCTAATTTTTATGTTTTCTTCTTGGATGGTTGCTTGGTCTCTATTCCGGTTTTTTTCCGTTGTTGATGGCTGGTAGTTTGCTTTTTAGTTCGTTTCCTCTTCCTTTGCTGATCACTCCCCCTTTTGATGATAACTGTTGATAAAAAGACCCTCTTTTCTTGCGTTTTGTTTTGTTTTTGTCTTTGTGCTCTGTCTCTTGTTTGGTGTGCTTGCAGGTCACGGGTGCGAGCTGGTCACGGGCTTCAGGGAGGACTCTGTGAGTCTGCGCAGTCGGTGGAAGCTGACTGGTGGAGACGAACGGTCGACAGAGGCTCATTCTGAACGTGGAAGGCGGCGCTGGGCATAGGGCAAAAACCCTAATGGTCCTTTAATCTGGACCGTTGGATTAGGAGCAGATCCAACAGTCCAGGGTGAGCGGCGGCTGGAACCAGAAGCTGGAAACCCTAACGGGTTTTAGGGTTCTCTTATACTTGGGCCTGTTTGGTCTGGCACGTTTTAGTTGTAACTCTGGTGTAGGCCCTGTAATAGTAAAAATAAATATACTTAGTCCATGTTATAAATTATTATTATTTTTTATTGCAATTTTATGTCATATATTTTCATGTTAATAACTAACAAATATCAAACTTATGCTAATAACCCTAATAACGATAATAGTAAAACCCAATTAAAATTAAATAACGCCCGGACAAATCGAGCATCTACAGAGGGGGAGATGGGCTCCCATAAATGTGGGAAGAGGACGATTGGGATATTGAAGGAAAGGCGCGGTTCATTTCGTATGTGTCAGAAATCCCGTGAAGGCGTGGATAACGATCAACGCCTTTTCTTACGAGGCACCAACTCGAACATAACCCCTCAAAGGCGCGGATGACGATCCATCTTTTATTACCACCGTGTCAAAAAGTATGCTAGATCGATAATATTAAAGATAAGGATGCCTGACATGTAATTATTGATGATAGAGGTGATATTTCGATAAAAACGCCACAATCACATAAATCATTCACACGTTATGTCATCATCTGCACCAACATACTATCTACTTTTAGTATATTGCGTCTTACAGTTTTCTTCATAAAATAGGAAATAAAATAAGATTTTCAAAAAGTTAAAAGATAGTATGGGAACATATATCATAAAACTAATTTACATCTAACTAATGTACAATAAAAAATTACAATCATTAAATTCATCCCGTGATATTAATAATAAAAAGGAAAATTATTCTCTTTAAAAATTATAGATTTAAGTAGTTATGTCTGTAAAATATACATATTATCAATAAATTACTGAATAAATATTATCTTATAATCACCTCTAGATTATTCTTAAAAATTTACAATCATTATTATCACATTTCTAGTAATTTAAAAGTCGACTTTGATATTATCTATATTAATGTAAAAAATATTATTTGACGTTTGTTTCAACCTATTTGATCTTACATTTTTATCTAAAGATACCATATATAAAAATAATATGTTTATTAATAATTCATTTATTCTAATCTCAAACTAATTAAATTATAAGATATTACATATTTAAATAAACTCATATAATCTCTAAATTACTATGTAACAAAAATACAAACATCTACATTAAAATTATAAAGGGCTAATCTCTACTCTCTACTACCAACTATAAATACATTTATTTCAGTGGAAAATAAATAAATTTGAAGTATTATTTATATTTAATTTACTAATGTTGATAATATTTGATCAATTAATGATTTGTGTTCTTAATAGTTGTTTATACATGTATGCATATATAAGTCGCCCATGGTTTCAAAAGGCAAAATATTATTCTTTTCGCGTCGCTTTATTCTAATAATTCAAAGGCTGCTAAGCACTAAGGAAACAAACAGTACATATTCGGAATTACAAAATAGTAATAATAAAGAACGAACCAAATTATGATAGTGTAGAAGATGATGAAATTTTATACATCGAAATATGTTTGATTAATAGAAATGATAAAAATATTTTTAAAATGTAACTGATAGATTTAATTAATTAATTTAAATAGATATAAAAAATAAGAAATATAAGAGTAAAGGAGGAAATACAAGCGTCGTTATTTGTTAATTTTTCTTATAAGACATTTTAATTGAGATAATTTAAAAAAATATCTTTAGTAGAACGAAAGGAATATATTATAAAACAAACTGTATTTATAAAAAGTAAACTTTGAATGCATTTATATTTTATTATTGAAGTTTTAAAATTTATTTATTTTATAATTTTATTACAATAATGATGTGATCAATAATTAATATATATTATAATATAATTACGTTATTATTTCATGCACACGTAGATGACAATATTTAAATTTTATATGTGTATGAATCAAATGATTTAAGTGGTTAAAGGGATAATTATTATTCTTAGAGATCTTAAATTCGAGTACTTACGACTGCAATATATTTTAACGTTCATTTTAAAATGGTTGAGAATCTTCAAAACATATATTATCACTTGTAATCACCTGAATTTTTTTCATCATAGGTGCTTAAAATGATTTTTTTATATAATATTAAAAAAGATATTTCATTATATACACCTTTTCATAGTGAGAAAGGAATACATGTTTCTTGAAGGAATCAAATTCATGTTGAAAAAGTGAATCACGTCCTTTGTTTCTTCTGCATTTTCCTTTCCACAGTTTAAGTCAATTATTCTTTAATTTTCTGTAATCTTAACGACAACAAAATTACAACTTTTCTATATATTTATTAGAAAGAAAATATTTTGGTAATTTGAATTAATTGCATATAATATATTAAAAAAACGATTGCATGTAATAATATGTCACGTGCATGAATAATAAAAGAAATGGTCGAGCAGCATACGATACTGACATGGACTTATGATGTTAACCCTAGAGGGGTTCTGTTCCTTGTTCGGTCTTAGTTTCTTACCAATCGTAATTTACAACTTGTCCTCTTATTATGGTTAAACTACTTAGATAATTTTAGTTGACATCATCGTCGTCGTTTGGCAATTCACAGATCCAACAAAATAATAATAATATAACGTAAACTCTCCACCATAGTTTTCAGAACCGGACCGATTAACGAACCGGTTATACTATCGATTTACTGGTTCAACCGGTCGAATCGGTCCAACCGGTCGGAAGAACCAGACGACGTCATAATTATTTAAAAAATTAAATAAAAATACCAAAATTATTTAATAAAAAATAATTTTTATATCACAAGTCATATTCAAAGCAAGTCATAACATATATAAGTTAAAAAAACATAAAATCAAGTGAAACAAAATGATTCAAATTAATTACAACATAATATTTAAGGTAAAACATATTAAATAATAAATATAATTATATAACTATAATTAAAAAATAAATTTGGGGTTAAAAAAATCTTAACAAAATGATATTGTTTGGTTTAATTTTATTTTAAAACAATCTCACATGGCTAAGAAATATAGAAGAGCATCCCAAAAGTCTAAAGAGTAAAAATATGAGAACAAAACAATCTCACATTGCTAAGAAACATAGAAGAGCATCACAACTAACTTCTATAAATAATAGAGGTAATTTGGCATTCAAAATCATGAAGTCTTTTGGTGAGCATTGAGTGAACTATTCTTTCACTTCAATCAAGCTCGAATTTTAGGCTTCAATCGAGCTTCTAATTTTTTTTTGAGTTCAAGCCTTTTTGAGTTCAAGTTTCAATATTATATTTCGAGTTTGAGTTGAACTTGATAATTTTTAGCTTGTGAGTTTGAGTTGAGTTGAGCTTACTTTTAAAGTTTTCAAGTTCGAGTCGAGCTCAGCAATACTCGAGTTCGACTTGGCTCGTTTAACAAACGACGTTGTTTGGTTTAATTTTTTTAAAAAAAACAAAAATCTCGGTTTTCTCCGGTTTTTTCCGGTTTTCAACCGGTCCGGTTCGAATGGTTCAGCGGTTCTGACCGACTAATAGCGGTTCAACCAGTTTAGATTAAATAGGACTAAGCAAATGTTCCCGGTTGAACCGGCCGATCCGGTCCGATTTTCAAAACAGAGCTCTCAACCTTCTAACATTGATTACTCATATTTCTATGTCTATAATACTCGGAACTCAAATACCAAAGAATAATAATAATTTTTTTTATCTCAAATCATTTAGTTCGTGTAAGCTTGAATATGTTTAAATGTTAATATTATCTTATTTATATAATTAAAAAGAATATAAGTAATATAATGGTTGTCCCTTGTTTCCATATTTAATGGGGTAAGGAGGAGGTAAGATAGTAGGCTGCCCTCAACATTAAGTTGAGAGCAGCTTCCGTAGAAGACCTCCGAATTATGAAATACCCTCTGTGAGACCCGATCCCACGGCCTCAAAATTAAAAACCTTGTGCTATACTAACTGAGCTGGATAGTCATCTCAATATAAGAAATATAATATTATACGATAATTAATTAAAAAAAAGGCTTCGCTTGGATTTTTGTATTGGGTAAGAAAGCACATGGCTTCATTGGTGAGTTGATTTGAAAGAGGGAATATCGTATAAGATCAGCTTAAAAAAGACAAAAGTGCTTTGATTATTATTATTTAATTGAAAAAGGCTTAGTTTAAAAGGGAAATTTATCAGAAATTTCCCTTCATCAATGAAGCTTCCCAGTGGATCCCACGTGGCCCTTTCCCTTTTTCTCTATAAATTCTCTTCCAAACACCCAACCCCATCATCCCAGATCCTCACATTTATCTGATTAATTAAACTAAAGTTTTAGAACATATCCTTTTACCACCACCATCGTCTTAGTATCCCTTTCTTGCTTTTATTATTCTGTTCATTAATCGAGATGCTCAGCCATTTAATCCACGCCGTCGCCGGCGACGACAAAGGCAACGAGGAGATGAGGCCGGGGAAGATGAAGGCCACTGTGGTTCTGATGAAGAAAAATGTTCTGGATTTCAATGATTTCCATGCATCTTTTCTTGATGGCTTTCATGAGTTGCTGGGGAAAAGAGTTTCGTTTCAGCTCATCAGTACTGAAAGTGGCGATGCTAGTGAGTTTTCTTTAAAAACAAATATGTATATATATATATATATATTTTGTTGAGCATGTTTGTCATTTTTTTATGTCTCTTAAAGACAAAACAAAAGGCTGCCATTACTAATAATTTATAGTTTTTGGTTTTCTTCACACTTTCATATATTACATGCATGCATACATGATTACATTCTTTTATCAAATGTATTTTTATCAGTAAGGCTAAGAATTCTGTCTTTTTAATACCATAATTTAAGGGATTTATCTAATGATTTGATTATAGAAAATATGCTGTCCAAAAGTAAGGCTCACACAAATATCAAAATCGATTTTTTTATAATTTAAATAGTTTTTACAAATTTTGATATATATTGTTAGTGTTTTATTTTTCCCCCCTGTTTTTGTAGCCAATGGAATGCAAGGAAAACTGGGGAAGCCAGCATATTTGGAGGACTGGAACTCTTCAGAATCTTCCGTCGTGGCCTGCGGGGAATCTAAATTCAGTGTTAACTTCGATTTCGATGAAGAAATCGGGAAACCCGGAGCTGTTCTGATTAAAAACCATCACCACAGTGAATTCTATCTCAAAACTGTTACTCTGGAACATGTTCCAGGCCATGGTCGGATTCACTTTGTCTGTAATTCTTGGGTTTATCCCGACGAGAGATATCAAAAACCTAGAGTTTTCTTCACTAACAAGGTATCTTCTCCGAGGAATCTCAGTGTATTTCTTTGCTGAAACCATAGCTTAAAATGCTTGATTTTACTTTTTCTTTAGACGTATCTTCCGCAAGAGATGCCGGAACCATTACGTAAATACAGAGAAGAAGAGATGAAGGCCTTGAGAGGCAATGGCCAAGGAGAGCTTCAAGAATGGGATCGTGTCTATGACTATGCTTACTACAATGATCTCGGCGACCCCGACAAGGGCCACGAATACGCCCGCCCGGTTCTCGGCGGATCCACCGAGTACCCGTATCCTCGCAGAGGAAGAACAGGCAGACCCCCATCTAAAACAGGCGAGGATCCGTTACTTTATATATATATACAGATAGTGTATTGATTGTGTGACAAGGTTGCTGCAATAATTGAACAGATCCCAGGACTGAGAGTAGGATACCACTTTTGATGAGCTTAAACATATATGTCCCCAGGGACGAACGATTCGGACACTTGAAGATGTCGGATTTTCTCGCTTATGCACTGAAATCTATAGTTCAATTCATTATACCCGAGCTTCAAGATCTAACCAATAAAACTCAAAACGAATTCGACTCATTCGAGGATGTTCTTAAGTTCTACTATGGCGGAGTTAAGCTTCCTTCAGGACCTTTGCTTGATAATATCGTCAACAACCTCCCCTTGGAGATTCTCAAAGAAGTTTTCCGGACTGATGGGGAACAACTTTTGAAATTTCCTGTGCCTCAAGTGATCCAAGGTTTGCATATTGCTAATTTCAGAGTTAAATATCAAAAATCGGTTCGGTCCATCCCTGCTCCTTTGCCATCTTTAAACGTTCGCTCTTAAGACTTACTACTTGATCTCCATTATCACTTACTTTGATATCTGTAATGAATTTGAGTAGACAGTAAGACTGCATGGAGAACTGATGAAGAATTTGCCAGGGAAATGCTTGCTGGAGTTAACCCTGTTATAATTCGTCTTCTTGAAGTAAGCTTTTAAGCACCAAACTTTCAAATCTATTAAAATCTCAAAATTTATTTACATATTTTTTCGATTTCAGGAATTTCCTCCAACAAGCAAGCTAAATCCTGAAGTTTACAGCAACCAAAACAGTGCCATAACCAAGGAACACATTGAGCACAACCTAGAGGGACTCACCATAGAAGAGGCACTGAGAGCCAACAGGTTATTCATATTGGATCATCATGATTCACTTATGCCGTATCTGCGGAGGATAAATTCTACGACCACCAAGACTTACGCATCTCGAACCATCTTGCTTCTACATAACGATGGGACTTTGAAGCCACTGGCAATTGAATTGAGTTTGCCACATCTGAGCGGGGATCAACTCGGTACTGTTAGCAAGGTTTACACACCTGCAGAACATGGAGTTGAAGGCTCAATATGGCAGTTGGCTAAAGCTTACGTTGCTGTAAATGATTCTGGTGTTCATCAAATCATAAGCCATTGGTATGGATATATAAATTAGCGGTTATATATCGGTTAAGCTTTGATTTGACGAGAAGGGCTTACGTATATGGTGTTTTTTATTTGTTTACAGGTTGAACACTCATGCGACAATGGAGCCATTCGTGATAGCGACGAATCGACAGCTGAGTGTAGTTCATCCAATTCATAAGCTTCTCCATCCTCACTTCCGTGACACGATGAACATCAATGCATTCGCTAGGCAGATTTTGATCAATGGAGGTGGAATCCTGGAATTGACAGTTTTCCCTGCAAAATATGCAATGGAAATGTCATCACTAATTTATAAAAGTTGGAATTTCGTTGACCAGGCACTTCCTATGGAACTCAAGAAGAGGTACATTTAGCTCGAATACGAATCTATAGAGCTTTTTGACTATGAAAATAACATGTTTTCTTCTTCCCTATTCAGAGGAGTTGCAGTCGATGATGACAGTTCACCAAATGGTCTTCGCCTTCTGATAAAAGACTATCCGTATGCCGTTGATGGACTGGAGATTTGGTTCGCAATCAAAAAATGGGTGACAGATTATTGTTCTTTCTACTACAAGACTGATGAAATGGTTCGACAAGACCCCGAGCTTCAAGCCTGGTGGAAAGAACTCCGAGAGGAGGGGCATGGTGACAAGAAAGACGAACCATGGTGGTCTAAAATGCAGACTCGAAAAGAGCTGATCGATTCTTGCACCACTATCATATGGATAGCTTCGGCTCTCCATGCTGCGATTAACTTCGGACAATATCCTTATGCAGGCTACCTCCCGAATCGACCAAGTATAAGCCGTCGGTTCATGCCCGAAGAAGGAACTCAGGAGTACGAGGAACTTGAGTCAAACCCCGACAAGGTGTTCTTGAAAACAATAACTGCTCAACTGCAGACATTCCTTGGAATCTCCTTGATAGAAATCCTATCAAGGCATTCATCGGATGAGGTTTATCTGGGGCAAAGAGACAGCAAAGAATGGACATCGGACGAAACACCGATTGCAGAGTTCCATGAATTCGGAGAACGGCTTTCGAGGATAGAGGAACGGATCGTAGAGATGAACAACGACAAGCAATTGAAGAACCGGGTCGGTCCCGTCAATATGCCATACACATTGTTGTATCCAACAAGTGAAGGTGGACTTACAGGCAAGGGAATTCCAAACAGCGTCTCAATCTGATGCTTGTCTTCAAATTTCTTCAACGGAGTTATTTTATTTAACTATACCGTTTGTAAACAAATTAATGTTGGCTTGTGTGTGTGTGTTTTTTTTTTTTTACAAACTCACATGTACACACACACTACATTATTAACCTTGAAATCTGAATTCCTATTTGTAATAGACCAAAACAGCATGCTTCAAATAAATGTTTGTTATTACTACAAAAAATAAATTTTTTATAGATATGTTGTCTTCAAACTTTGATTAATTAAGTGTTCTTTGATAAACCTCAAGGGGATAAGCTAACAAGATTGAAGAATCCGGTAGAGTTCTTTAGCCACCTCGATCATTGCCAGCCTCTTTTCTCCATCATTGCAGGTGCATCTGAAGAAAAGTGTGGCCAAGACCCGCAACTGCGCCGACTAGATTGATATTCTCGGATCCACAACATTACTGGAAAATTGCAACACGCTGCTGCTCATCAGCATCCATTTCTCGAACCGCATTTCCTGATTCAACATTTGTTGTAGAGAGGATTCCTTGGCCTGAGAATTCGTAAACTATACCCAAGCAGCATCCTATGGGCAATGACCTTCAAAACATTCTTGTTTGTGATCCGATGACGATGTCTTTGTAAGCAAAATGTTCGCACAGATTGGAAACGGGAATAACATAATTCTTCACGAATATTGGACGTTCCTTTAAAGAGCCTCTGTATAATATACAGTCATTATCTTGTGCAATGATCCGAGTAGAATCGTAGTTGTTCCTTGCTCTCAGGAGCACTTCTTCGGAGAAATGACGGATTGGATTGGATTGGATCTGCCATCGCACAAGGCAACGATTTCTTCTAATAAAGCCCCTCCAAGTCCCTTTTTTCTCAAGTTTTCAAACATGCAAACATCTTATCCGGAAGATAAAACAACTGAGAACTGAGCTGGAAATGAAAGCAGGAAAAAGATAAATTTTCACCTGGGAATTTCGGATGCTAAACCAAGAAATCAGAGCAATTTTTGTTTGCTTGCCAATGTGGAAATCTTGCAGCTCAATTCACAAGTATTTGAGAAGAAATTCAAAGTCATAAAGTTGTTTATACATGAAATTTCCAGCAACAAAGCTCGGCAACTTCCTTCAACTTTAGGGTTTTGTTTTTTGGCCTTGGAGTGCGAATTCATCACGAGTTTAACGAGATATTATTTTTTTATTTCAGACTTAATATTTTAATATTTTTTATTAAATTCATTACCTCGAAATAATAAATTTTATTAAAAATTATAACTATTATTTTTTAAAATTTTAATTTAATTTTTTAAAAAAAAATTGAAACTCATCACTTCGAAGTGACGAGTTTCTTTAGTGTAATAATTTTTTGAGCTTTGAAATGTCATCATATTTCACTATAATATTCATGTAAACATATCAATCTTAGTATTGGGTAAACTACATGTTTAATATATAAATTATCAATTTTGTTTTCTTTTGGTATCTAAATTTTTATTTGTTTCAAAATTATATCTAAAGTTTACTTTTTATTTCATTTTGGTACATCTCTGTTAAAATTAAATTTAAAAGTTAGAGTGATTAAATTAGGAGCAATTTGAAAATTATTAAATTTAATTTTTTTATTTTAATTATATATTAATGAATTAATAATAAAAATATGATGTGCCAAATTAAAAAAATTAAACTCCAATGACTAAAATAGGAGTGAGAAGATAGTTGAGCGATAATGTAATTTACCCATAAAAATGTCATACTTGTTATGTTAAACTTTTAACAGCGAGGTATCAAAATGAAATAAAAAAATAAATTTTAGGTATAATTTTGAAACAAATAAAAATTTAGGTACCAAAAGAAAACAAAAATGATAGTTTATATATTACACATGTTGTTTACCCAATACCAAAATTTGATATGTTTAGATGGGTAATGTAGCTAAAAAATTATTACACCAAAAGGAATTCATCACCTCGACGAGTTTCAATTTTTTTTGAAAATAAATTTATATTAAAAATTTTAAAAAAATAATTTTTTAATGAAATTCGTCAGAAGAAATATTAAAATATTAAGCTCGAAATAAAAAATAATATTTTATAGAACTTGTCACCTCGACGAGTTCGCTTTGCATTGTAGAAAATATTGCAGATCTCAAAATAATTTTTTGACACCCCTTTTTTTCCCTAAATAATTTTGGGGCCCACGATAATTGGCTAAAAAAACATCAATTTTATCCATTGTAATTACCAGAGTCCAGTACTTCATCGAAAACTAGGAGTTTTTTTGTCCAATAGGGCACCCTCCGTAATTATTTGACCCAATAGGGCACCTAAGAAATTAATTTGGGATCTACGGTATTTTCTATAGTGCAGGGAGAACTCGGGTGACGAGTTCCATGAGATATAATTTTTATATTTTGGGCCAAATAATTTAATGTTTTCTATGGAACTCGTCACCTCGATTTAAAATTTATAGCCGTTTAGATTTGAAGAAGAGCCATTAGAACTAGTCACCTCGAGGTGACGAGTTTCAACATTCATTTTCTCAAATCTTAACTATAAATAGGAGTTGGATTAGTTGATAGAGTTATAGGAGAACAAAAATATGTACTTGTGGGAAGAATAATCCAAGCATTTTTCGGAAGATCATCTTTGGTTTGATTACTCTGATATTGATGATTCAGATTCAAGCTCGTCTTTAGATGATGAGTGGGTGAAAAGATCAATAAAATATATTCTTGATCAACATAAGGAGTTGAAAATGGAAGAGGAGAAGGAGAATAAGAAAGATAAGAAGAAGAAGAATGAAGATTTAGCAAGCCGACGTAGCAAACGACTAATCGAAATGAATGATAATAAGAAAAATAATGTAAAAATTGAGAGGAAAATATGTTTATTTTGTTAAAAAAATATTTTAAATAAATGTTTGAATTTGACTTTAGTTAAATTTTATTGTTTGCAATTATATATGAAAAATAAAAAACTGAAAAATTATCATTGATATTTGTAAAATCAGTACAATATGAGAATACGATTACAAATGATTTATCAGCCTGCTCGATATCTTAGGAGATGTGGATAGTGCTTCTTATTGTGGCCTTCACCTCTGCAATGGCCACAGAGCTTCGGTAGACCTTGCTGTCTTTAAGGGTCATCCATATAAGTAAGAATTCGACTATATTCAGAACGACCCCTCAACTTCCTTCATAGTTGTGAATTGGGAAACCATTCTATAAAGATAGTAAGTGTCAAAATGCCTCATTCGGGAGATACTTAAACTCACAACTGTAGATGTTATGCATAGTATGCAAAGTTATAACAACCATCAACGTAAATGTATAGGTCTACATTCACATATATACATACAACAACCGCTTAAGCGCATGGTATCTGAAGGCTTGAAATCGACCATAATCATATTATATTTTATTCAAATTAATAGTATAGGTGGCAGAAGTCTCACCCTCATGTGGTCGAACAAGTGTTTAGACAATATAATCATATTCCAGCCTGGTGAAATTACGAACATACATTGATGTTGCATGAGTTTGATTTTTGGTCATTGCTTTCTCCAGATCTGAAGCCCAATTTCTACCTTTGTTGAGCATTGCCTCTACATGGGCACTTTTATCTGCCCAAACTTTACACAATATGAAGTATGTCTCCCGAACAATACTTGACACCGGAAGATGTCTAGTCCCTTTTAGCACTGAATTGATACACTAGACAAGATTGGTTGTCATATGACTATAATTTCGACCTTGATCGTCATATGCTTGTGCCCATTTTTTTGGAGGTATCTCAACTGCAAAGTTATACACCTCTTCTTTATACTTTCTCAAAATTTTCAGTCTTGCACGGAAGCTTGGTTGTAGTAATGAAGGCTAAAACTGAATAAGTTACTCATGCTGATAATCTCTTTCTTTATCTTCTTATTATTGAACCTCGTCATAGCATTTGAAGTAATATGACGTATGCAATACGCATGAAATGTATGCGGATGTGACCACCTATTTCTCGGTCTGCCAATTATGGCTAACAACCTATGTGAACAATCTAAGATCATATAAACCCTATCTTGGGTGACAACATGGGAGCGCAAATTTGACAAAAAGAAATTTCACATTTCCTCGGACTCTATTTTAACAATGGCGAAGGCAATGGAAAGACATTTTTGTCGCCATCTTGTGCAACAGCTATCATAGGAACATATTTGTAGAAGTTGTATAAAAAAGTACTACCCACTTGAACCATCTGTTTGCATTAACGAAAGCCTTTAATTTGTGACTTGAAAGCCCAGAACAAGCCTAAAAAAACTCTCTTCCCAGGGATAACTTGTCTATCAAATGTGGTTGTAGGATAAATGTAGGAGCGAACAATGGTTCTTGGGATGAAATATTTCATTGCGTGCAACTGATGTGGCAGCTCATTGTACAATTGACCATAATCACCGTACAGTAGTGTCATAGTTTTGTGTTTGGCCATCCAGGACTTGTAATAAGATGGAATATAACCAAATGTATCATGTATTGATGCCACAATCATTGATACATGGATCCTTGGATTTTTCTCCATCAGTAGCTTCATGTATGCACATATGACATTGGAGTCTAAGTGTTTATAGTCTTGTGTCAAGGAGCTGAACGTGTAACTGTGTTGGTTGTGGAACCTTGTGACTTCCCACAACATCTTTTGCTGTAGGTATGAGACATGCATTCTCCACTTATAGTCGACGTTGTTGTTAATACATCTGACAAAATATGCCTTATGGTCAGACTCCACAACAGTGAATTCCATATGAGCTTTGATACAAAACTCCTTCACAGCTAGTTGTGCATCCTTCTTACTCCCAAACTGTGACCTAATTCCAAACTCCGATTATCCTTCATTCGAGTTCTCCTAGCGGGCTGCATATATATTGGCATATCAGGAACCTTAGGATTCCTCATGGCATCATAGTTTATCTCATACATTGCAACTACATTATGATATTAAGGCATCTGGGGTTGCAAACTTTCTGGTTGCATGGATGTTGGTGGATGTGCCCAAACTGGCGAAGTATTCTGCATTGTTTGGCCATGAGAAATTGTTGCCTCCCAGATACCACCATCTATATCAAAGGCTTGTCCCTCTGAAGCAGCCTCGACGATATCATATTCATAGATTATTGGTGTGTC